AATTAATATCGAAGCGCTGTATATAACTAGCGATTATACACTGTATATGTATATATTTGTATGTACAACTTATTAATATCGCTACTAATCGTGGTTTGCTATGTGTCTTGTTAAACTTGTTAAAAGATGTGAATCTTACGTATTATAGCTATTATAGGCTATTAACGAATTTCCAAAATACTTCGGCAGATGTATCGAACGTATTTGGAGTCCGACGATAATGATGAAATTAATGAATAAAATACGACGAAGGAAAGAAAAAGAATTAAAAAAAAAAATAATAATAACAACAAGGACGTAATAAAAATGTATGTACGAAAGCTGAGGATTATTTACAGATAATGAACTGTCAAAGAGGAGACGCTGGTGATCGACAACTTATTAGAAAACAACGATAATACGGTATAATTACAGAGTAGAAAGAAGAGAGGAGAATGAAAGGAAGAAGAATGAGACAGAAAGGTTAAAAACGATGTCAAGATGAAGAAGAGAGAAACTGAGAGAAGAAAAGAGAATCCAACAGAAAGAGAAATAGACAATAAGAAAGAATGAACAAGGAAGAAATGACGGGCAGGTGAGACAGAAAGAGAGAGAGAGAGAGAGAGAGAGAGAGAGAGAGAGAGAAAGAGCCTGTAGCAGTGACATGCAGCCTTTGAAGGGGATCTCACATCGGTGGCCACTGCAGTGTCGGTCTCGGAGCGTGCACTGAGATACGACATAGACGATTTCTTCCTTGTTAAAGGCTCACTCCGACGACGAAGTCTCAGCGCGTCCTTTTCAGTCCCTCCGTACATGGCGACGTGTGTCGCGATCTCAATGTCTGTCTTAAGCAGCGTGTTCATCAACTGCAACGGGACCAGACTTTTGAGTCATTTCTTTCCACGCGATACCGGGTTGCCTTCTTTTGTTTGTTGTGCTGTACTTCTTGCCTGCTGTCTGACGACTCCTCGACGCGACGGGGCCAAGGATTACAGAAAAATCGTGAAAAATTGGCGGGGGTCGAGGGGGGGCGGGGTGGGGGTGGGGGGGTTAGTGATCATTGCAAAGAGTTTTGAAAAAGGTTTTGGCGGGGAAATTTGGTGGTAGATCGACAGAGTAAATGCAAGAAATTTTTATGCACACACGGAGTGTTCAAGTTCGACCTTCGGCCATGATCCGATGATCCATCTGACAGATTCGATCGAAGGGACGAACGAACGAACGAACGGTGAAGTTAACTAAGTTAACTGAACGGATGAGCGAGTTAACAAAGTTAACTGAAACACGAAATCAAAAGTCGAATGCTGAGAATGCGAGAAATTAAAAGTCGGATCGATGCCTGGGTCGTTTCCCGGAATATTTCAATTGGCTCAAGCACTCACCGATTAGTCAAACGTTTGCTTCAGAACGGGGGTTCATAGCAGATAAACCAGAGGAATTCGTATTCGTAACCATTCAGGATGTGTCGTGAACAATTTTCATTCAGTAGCGAACTGAGATGATATCGACGTACCTCGGAGATGGTCATTCTTCTGCCGCGTTTCTCAGCCTCGCGGCGTTTCTCCGCTTCTTGCTTCTCGGACTCGGTGTCCGGGATCAGGTCCGTCACGTCGTCGTCGTCCAAGTCGTCGAACATGTAGTAGTCGCCTGATCTGATGGCTGACCGAAGAAAAAAAGATTTACTTTAGAAGAAATAGTGGGAAAGAAATCCAACGATCCGTCACTTACGCTACGCAGGTGCCAAAGCCATGCACGATATTTCACTGAACGGAACAGTTGTGCTTTAAGAAGACACGTTACTCGACAAGTCTCAGACTAATAATTAATCAGAACAATGTAACATCTATTTGGAATTAGAAAAATTGTTAGTACGATCGCGCAAACAAGTGTAAGATACACGCACACATAGATGCAACCACCACCATCTTTGGATCGCTATACAATATTCGATGTTCGTGCGACGCGGCGCATGGAAATAAATTACACGCACACGTCTATGTACAGCGTGATGTTCTGTAAAAGCAGAAGGATAGTTAGTCAGGAAATGTGGAGACGTCAGTTGGTAGGACAAAGCCCGGACAAGCTGCGGAAGAAGAAAAACCGAAAGATAATTTTCATTTACCCTCTCTGTTGGTCTTTGGCGCGCGAACTCTGTACAACGGCCGTGTCCCTGGATACAGAGTATCTAACACAAAGAAAAAACACAAAAAAGGTATAGATAGATAAACAAATGAAAACAATGAGAGTCGTTGGCGCAGGATAGACGTCTACTTTACAAGAATATACAATTTATATTACATATTGATCACGCCGAGTCAGCCCTGGAGTCAGTCCTTGATCGGCATCAGATCGACGATCTGTCGAGAAATTGAACGGATTTCTGGATTTTCATTAATATTTCTCCCTTGTGAGAGATGGATGAGAAGGACGTTAGAATGTTAAAGCAGGATCGATATCAAGGGGAACATGTATGATCTAATCGTACGATTATGTACATCCAATAAGATCCAAATGTAATACATGACATGTAACGAAGATCGAAGAAAAGTGTCATCCAATGCAGGAATCGATCAAATATCTACACGTTCAAAAAAAAAAAAAAAAAAAAAAAAAAAA